CAAAATCAAAACAATAGTAATGCTATTAAAAGACATTGGATATCTATTTTTTAGTTTTTCATGGTTCAAATAAAATGTATAACTTATTTTTGTAGTGTTTAGTTATGTAAATAATAGTACTTATTATGTCCATTTTTATTATGGCTTATTTATAAGATTAATTTTATGCGATTTTATTAACTTTATTGTTGAATATTCTGCCTTACTAGGATTAAATAAATATTTGGAGCACAAAACCCTATGTTTTGTGCTATGAAAATTTTATGAAGAAAAAAAAATCAAAAAAGCCCAAAAATCCGAAAAACTCGAGAAAAATGAGATTTAAAAACTCAACTTTTATTGATTTGGTTTGGTCTTTAGATTTACTAATCCAACATAATTAGTTTGGTTTGGTAATCGAAAAACCCGAACCAACCCGACCTGGTACACTCCTACCCTATCTATTTGAAAAATAAACTAATACTATAAGAATTATGCATCATTTTCACTTTTACTAAACAAGACTCTTAGATCAAATTTATATTAAATGCCTCCAAACCCATCAAATATAACGGGCAACTGCATATTCAATTGTTTTAGTGCATCTTCAATGGTGCACTATTTTTTGCATCAAATTTAAATTTGGTATAAAATTTGGTTCTTTTTTTTTTTGCTCCAATGCAACACCAAATTTAGCACCATTTTAGTGTGTGAATAGTGTCACAGTGTCACACCAAATTTGGTGTGACACCATTTATCAACACCAAATTTGATTTATTATTATTTTATTCATCTTTTTATTTTTTTTGGACTTTTAATTTATCATATATTGTGTATAATTAATTTTTATATTAAGATCTTTATAATTTTAATTTTATATCCTATTTTTTTGATATATTATTTTTTGTATATATTATATTTATATAATATTATAAGTTAATTAATTGTTAGTATAATTGCATAAAAGAAATATAACCATTATTTAAAAAAGAAAAATGCAAATGTAAGATATCTAATGTTGCTAATATTGAAAAGTGAAAACTAAAATTTAAAAAAAAAATTAACAATACATAGAATAAAAATATATTAAAATTAAAAGTACATCAAAGGAGGATACATTAAAATTGAAATTACATTAAAAACATAAAACATAAGTTTAGTAATCCGGTATGTCATTTCCAGGTGCACCAAAATTACTAAAAAACTGAGAGAACGGGGTAGAAGATTGTTGTGCTTGTGGTTGTTGAAATTGTTGACTTCTTTTATCGAGTATTTGTTTTTGTTCTTGTCGCAAAAATTCACGAAGATGCATGTGAATGTCCAACTCCTATGGTAGAAATGGCGGTAGATGAAGATCACTGATTTGAACAATTTTTAGCTCGACAAACAAAAATTAAGGATAAAGATGCGCATTTCGCACTTCGTAATGCATTAATCGAGCATTTATGGGAGAATAGACGCGAAAGTTAAATATTTATGTGGTACTTAAATTAAATTTGACTATGATGTAATATTTATTTAATTATCTTTTATCAATGATTTTACTTTTAGTTGATTTAACCTTTAAAATAATTTTATAATAAATGATTATATAAGTGGTGAATCATGAATGTGATGAATATGGAAAAAAGAAAAAAAGATAGAATTTGTTTGAAGGAAATAAAAAAAAAATTAAATAGAAGATAATAATATTATATAGAAGAGAGAGAAGAATATAAAAAGAAATAAATTTTTTTGGTGTAAAAAATGATATAATGGTTGAAGTAAATTTGATATTACACCATTTTGGTATGAAATTTGATGTTAGCTGCATCTTCAAATTTCAGATAGTTGGATATGAAGTTTGAACATCAAGAGCTCAAGGTCAACTTCGTGCCTTCAGTTCTAAAGTTGTCCTCTAACATAGAATAACTTGAGGCCCGACGGTCTAACTTTGAAGTATTCCGTGTTAACTTTAGGACTTCAAAATTCAGACCTTTGGGTATGAAGATTGTCTTTGGGAGATCCTAACTTTAGGCTCAATAATTTGAAGTTTTTCGTGTTAAATTTTTGTCCAAATTTTACTTATTATTAAATAGTGGCTGATTTTTTAAATAATTTTTGAAAAATCAGCTATATCAAAACGATTCCATCACAACGGACTACCTGGTGCCATTCTTCCAAAATATTAAGGGTGAACCACATTGGTTTTTCATGCAGGACATGGTTAGAAGGTGGATAAAAAAGTCTGTTTGATTTTTAATTATCATTCATTGATAATACCCCAAAGAAATTTGACTTTACTGTTTTGTTTTCGAAGTAACTCTCATCAACTAGCACTAGTTTGAGGTGAACTAGCACTAGTTTGATGTCAACCTTTAGGAGTAATTCATCAATTGGTTAAATTTAAAATAATAACATACTCTTTATTTAATACGATCCCACTATACATATCGATATACATAGAGATTCACCTTCAAGCATCCAGCGATCCTGATCTATTTGAAAAATTAAAATAAAATTGCTTTAATATTTTCTAAACGGAGAAGGGTCAAATATATCCCTGTACTATCGAAAAAAGTTTAAAGATACCCTCCGTTATACTATTTGGTCATATCAGCCCCTGCCGTTATACTATCATTCAAATATACCCCTCAATTGGGTGGACTGTCACGTGGCACCTCAGGATTAAAGAGACCCTTCCCAAATTAAAATACCCGGTTTAATACTAACCTGCCCCTAATTAGATCCGTAACCGACCACTTAAGAGATACCCCTATCCAATTAAACCCCTCATTTCACTATAATGATTTTCTGTAGCAACCAAACCAACAACCTTTTTTCATGAAATACTTTGAATAAGACACTAAGGGTGTGTTTGGTACGAAGGAAAATGCTTTTCGGAAAATGTTTTCCAATTTTCCCATGTTTGGTTGGCTTAAATGTTTTGGAAAATATTTTCCTTATCAATTCATTTTCCTCCAATTGGAGGAAAATGTTTTCCTTATCAAGAGAAGGGAAAACATTTTCCAAAGCTCCCTTCTCAACCTTCCCCACCCTCACCAACCCACCCCACACCCTCTTCAAAAAAAGGTTTTTTTTTTTTTAAATTTCAGTTTTTCCGTTACCAGTCACCCTACTACCCCGCAAAAAAATATTTTTTATCTTAATTTTATTTTTTGCAAATTTTAAATTTCTGTTTTTTTTCACTTTTCTGCACCCACCACCCACCCCACCCCCACCCCCCGCACAAAAAAAATTTACTTTTTCTTTGTAATTTAAATTTCTGTTTTTTTTTCGTTTTACTGCAGCCAAGCCCCCTCCCCCAAAAAAAATTTTAAATATATTTTTCAGTTTTAATTTTATTATTTATCAGTTTAAAGGCTCAAAATTTTTCAAGTTCCAAAATTATGAGTTTGGAGGTTTATGTGTTTGGAAGTTTACGAGTTTAGAAATTATAAAGTTTACGGGTTTGAAATTCCGCGGTTTTGAAAGTTTAGCTGTTCGAAAGTTTATGAAATTTGTGGGTCCGGAAGGTTGTTGGTTTGAAAGTTTATGGCTTCATGTTTATTATATCTAAATTATTTATGAATACTCTTGAGAAGTCATTTCCCTTAATTTGCGTACCAAACACCGAAAAATAAATAAGATTACTACTTGTTTTCCAAGAAAACATTTTCTTGAAAAATATTTTCCACGGAAAACATTTTCCGTTATACCAAACACACCCTAAGTTCATGTAAAAATAAGCATTAATCTTTGGCCCCGTTTGGCCATGAGTTTTGCCAAAATAAATTTGAGATTTATTTTCAAAACTCATGTTTGGCCATAAATTTTGCCCATATTTTGACCAAATCCCAAATCTCAAATCTCAAATCCCAAAATCAGCCATTGAGCTGATTTTGGGCCAAAATCAGCCATTGAGCTGATTTTGGACCAAAATCCCAAAACTTGGGAATTATGTACATGTTTTTCCAAAATAAAGTTGAAAAATATGTTTTGAAAACGTATGTCCAAACACATTTTCATCTTCAAACCAAACTTCACCCAAATCAGATTTTTCGAAATAAATTTGGGATTTATGGCCAAACGCTAGCTTTATATGTTTTCGATCCGATATCGACAGCTTCAACATAAACTTGTCTCTGTGTGTCTGTTTTTGGCACGTTGCATTTTTCTCTTTTTGAGTAATAGAGCCAGTGATAATTTTCAACTTCTATGCTGTCAAAGTTGGGTTTTGAGACAATTCACAAGTTATTTTGCATCCATGACATGGTTACCTTCTATTTGTCCGATAAAAATGTAGACCCGAGCCTTAAAATTCTGGAAATCGAACCGGAGTCCTCTTGTTCTTGGAAATTTATTTATGTTTAGTTCAAATTTTAGCTCAAGCTTCATGCCAAAAGAATGAGGTGTCAGAGAAGATAGGTGTCTTTTCTTCTTCGGTAAGACCATGATTTCAAAACCAAAACATTTTGCTCTCATTGGTTGTGGTTGATAGATATATGGATAGAAAAATTCTGATTCCATGTGAACCCAAAATCAATCTATGGGGCACAACTGTTTGTATTATAACAGGCAATGAGGAAGAAAAAATAAAAGAAACCAAAGTAAAACGAAATGGAAAAGAAAAGAGAAAATGGAAGTTGATTCCACTCGTTTAGGGGTTTTTTAAGAGAAGAGCTGACTTGGGTCGAGTTATGGGTAGAGGAAAATATGAATCGGGTAAAAAAAGGGGATGGGTCTCTTTAATCCTGATGTGCCACATGGAAGTCCGTTCAATTAAGAGGTATATTTGAATGATAGTATAACGGTAGGGGCTGATATGACCAAATAGTATAACAGAGGGTATCTTTAAATATTTTTCGATAGTACATGCATATATTTGACCCTTCTCTGTTTTCTAAAACTACTTGTTTATACCTTCTTAGAATTATTTACATGTAACTTATAATATTATATATGGACCCATTGCTTATAAATAGTTTCTGGCACAGCCTAGAAGTGATAATACCCCGAAGAACTTCGAAACACAACATTAATTGTGAAAAGAATTGCTCTTCAAAAATATAATATTTACATAGAAAGTAGGAAAAAGTAAACGTAAGAGTAACTGCAGCTTCAAAAGAAAATGAGGCCATCAAAATCCCTACATAGGAGATGCTGTATTCACTAATTTATATACCCTTTCAGGAATTTGAAGAAAAGCTTCATACCCCAAATTTTCTTTTACAGAGTTCTAATTCATGGCTTGATAATTGTCGCCAATACATAAATTTATATACTATGGCTGCATGACACTGCTGAGTATATCAGTAGCCTCTTGTACAAGACTAATTCCATTAATTTGGACGAACGTATCTTGTAAATGCTAGTATTCATCTTCGTCTCTTGACCGAAGGACCCTCCGAATAACAGAAGCAACAGCACCAAGAACCAAGAACAGCACCAGCGTATCGAATCCACCTCCGACACCAACGGCAACACCAGGACCGGGTGCGAAGAACGAGAAAGGCGACCAGCCCCATCCACCATAGAATGGCACACCATACCCATATCCACCAACTAGAGGAGGAGCAACTGGTGGATTGACATATATATTTGTTCTGAAAAGGCAAAGCAAGAACAATGTCATGGTCTCATAAAGCAGGATGATGTGAACTAGTCTATTTAAGGGATTTCAACATCTGCATGTCAAATACAAGTGATGGATCATGTAACTAGAAAATCTAGTTGAACCAGGATAGCCTTCACTAGATGAAATATCATAATTCAGTCTGGAATTATAGTTTAATATAAGTCTAGCATATTCAACACAATGACTTCTCTACCATGGAGGAAAAGTTGCAGTAAGAGATTTTGTTGCATAATTTGGTCGCTAGGCTCCTCTAATCCCTTGTATTTATCCATTGCTTTTCCTCTTTCCAGACAACAATATTTCCTTAACTTCAGAGGTAGACAAACTTTTTTACTACATTAGGAAAGAACTCCACTAGAGAAACACAATTTGATGTCATATCACTTACATCTGATATCTAAGTTTTGTCTTGATTAATCATCTTTTTCTGAACATAAAAAAGATGATAGATGACTAATCAAAACCAGCTTTGAGAAAGAAGGGTAGCAACAAATACCTTGTTGGATAAAGAGAAACTTCTCCACCAATGTATAAAATAACCAAATTGCACTTTAGAAACTAGAAAGTAGGATGTGCTATGTCATATATATTGAGATTTGTTTACTCCCTAGATTTCAGATCCACAAAAAAGAAAAATAAACAAACAAATAAACAAAATGAAAGGAGCAAGAGTGCTGAATGGATACATGCTCTATCACAAATTTACAGTACAATCACAATCCAAAAAGCTGCCCACATCGACTTATCATCTTTCATACACACATGCACAACAATACAGAGATATTGGCTACAAGAAACTTTTCCAATCCTACAGGACTAAGAGAAAAGGGGGATGGAGCAAACAAGCTAGATGGTTTGACTCATACTCTTTGCAGTTAAGGTTGGTCTACTTCAACAAAAGCGGCACAAATCTACTACCTGAAGAATTTCAGAGCTTCTGGTACTATACTTATGATTTCAGTAAGATAGAAAAAACAAATTAGAAACTCGTGATCGGTGGTAAGTGGAGATTGAAAAGAAGAGTTGTAACTACCAAAAATTCTCAATAGGGGGTAAACAGCCTTCTATTCAGCGAAAAAGACCAGAGAAAGCACTAGCAAGTGCAATATCCTATCCCCCCAACCCATAGCAAGTGTTCCGGGGAAGGGGAGTCTTTAAGACCCAGGCTTTTGTTACTTCCAGAAGGCAGCTTGGTGTACTAAATTTTGTTGTCCTTCAGTCAACTTAATCTAGAAAGGGCCACTAATGTGTACAAGCACTTAGAAGGCAGAAAGCAATCCCAAAATCTCTGCTATAGCAAGTGGCGGAGCCAACAATTTACCCAAAGGGATTCCGAAAAACACTAGAATGTTACACTTGGGATTTGAACCTATGATCTAAAGCAATTTCTGAACCCCCTTTGTCACTTTACTAGAATTTTTTCCCTTATGAAAAAGGGGATTCAACGGTTTAATATAACCACAGAAAAGTTCATTTTTGGCCTATTTATTCTTCAATGAAGGTGATTCAATTAAACCCCCTTTCTTCGCTTAGCTCTGCCTCTGGGTATAGCCATTCTTCAGACTACTGTGGTGAAACATTAGGAAATGGTCAAGTTGATACAATACAAGGTATGATTGAAAAAGAAGTATACGATACAAGGCACAATAACTAGTTGGGATGCATGACCCTTGATAGCTCACATGCAGGACTGACTAATGTCAGTGGAATACACTTGAGGAATAATCTGACACACACATTTCTGATTCGTGCAAGACCAGAAATGGAGACAGATAGATTCCTACAGTTATACTAGCTCATTGATCATGTTTAATTAAGCAAGTTTATGATCATGACAAGAAGAAGTTTTAAATCATCTACAAACATGAGCAGAGAAGATGACCTGAAACAAAAAAAGAAAAGCTCTACCAAGGTTCTGCTATTATATTCACCTTAGAAATGAGAGAACTTTCTACAAGATTCGAGTTTAGACTAGATAGTAAATGGCTGGGAAAGTTTCGTAGCTTAATATTTGGTGTAAGAGAACCTCTTAAATATATTGTGGACACCATGTACAAAATTAGCTAACGCAAAATTAACCAACCTGAGATGATAAATTGAGCCTAACATGAACTAGCCATGGGATCTCAAAAGCTCACGAGAGCTTGTCCAGCAAAGACGCCATCCCACGTAAGTCTAACAAGTCTAGTTCAAATGGTTTTGTGGCCAAAAGTTACAAGACAATCGAAGGCATGAAATTTAATTATAGCACGATTCTCCCAATCCTACATCAAATTAGATCCATATGTCAGTACTTTTTCCCGGAGATACTAGAGTGTAAGAATTATTTTCCTCAAAACAAAAGTTGAGTTGAGAACACTACATGCATAATAGAATCCACTAATAGCATTTGGCCATGATCCATTGGCATATGTAACAGTAGTTGGATCTTCTCATCCACATAACTGCAAACCTTTGCCTATCCTTTGAGCAGAAAAAATACAATGCGTATGTTAGCTGAGAATGCTACACATACAGTTTTGTAACAGTTCATCATATATTGGGGAAATAAGTCCGCATTCCCATGAATTGTGATATTAACCGCTAGTCTTAGTAAACCTAGCTAAAAGCTTTTGTTTTTCCAATAGATAGTGAGAATAACATCTAATAAAAGTTACACAATTATAACCACGTTTCATTCATTAACAATGAGACCTTGACCTAGAAGCTATATTCATGCACTTGACCCATACACTTATGTCCCCATAGTTGACTGTATTCCATTTGTGTATTACACTTTTTGACATGTCTAGAATGTTGTCATACTATTTCTATGAAAAGCAAGACCACGGCCATAAAGATTCTTGTGTTGTACCTTTATAGCCAATATCAAGGACAATAGAATCACACCCAGTAGGGAATTTAACTATTTCTCGAGCTTTTAGGTTCAACATGCACATTTGCTTTAGCATTGTTTTCACTATGTACTGAAGTAACGCATCTGCAACCAATTACTAACAGTTCTCTTTTTATTTACTTCCCCATCCACGCCATATTCATGAGAGCTTACTGCATTTTCTAAGTTATTAGCGGAAGGAATCAAGGAACTTGAAAGCCTAGAGAAGAAATCATACTAAAGATGGTGGGATTGTTTCTATTAGAACATGAGATCTTTCCATAATAATATAAAACACAAAGTTATACACTTATGTAACTCAAAAGTAACATATGCTCTTCCCGGGCATTTTCTTAACCTTTACTACTGAAAAGTTTTACGAATAAAAGATGTACCTTGCTCCACTAACATCTTGTTTATATAGGAAGGAAAAAAAGGTCGCTAAAAGGGAATACTTAACAAATAAATATTCAATGCTGGTATCTGAACATGAAGAGAAGCTTAGATATGAGATTAACTTGTTTAGAACAAGAATAAAGAAAAGGAAAGGAAGATTCTGGTGCTTTCCTCTTCCAACCAAGGTGACTTCTCGTATGACTGACTCCACTCAAAATTCCAAGTAACACATAATACAAGTTAATATGCTCAGATGACAGAATTTTATATGACAGTAGAAGGAAAGTTTCAAGGTGATCTCCTCACCTCATGCTTCATTTGAGTGTCAAGAGAGTCATGCAGAGAAACCATGAGGTAAAGAAAAACATGACAACTTGTACTACTTTATCCAATTGGAAAAAAAAAGGACATGGAGAATCAGACAAAAACCACCACTGACATATGGGTTAGCAAGGTAAGAACCGAAAATGTTAGTTCGCCATATAAATGAATAACTCCCAGAGGTTACAAATAGATGCCACTATAAAGTTAGAGTTCAGCTCAAAGAAGCACAGCACACCTATGTTCTGTCAAATGGTTCAAAACAGAACTTCTCGCATCAAAATTGTCTTGATCCCAGTGACTGAAATCTCTAGCACATCTTTCGCGGCTGCTGTGTTATCCTCAATATGTGGAAAACATCACATTTGTGACAGATCTAACACTTCCTTCTCCTTTTACTCCTGCCAAGTTATCACTTCTTTCCCTTTTCACTTCTATCCAAACTATGCCAAATTGAAACCCTCCTATCGAGTCTAAATTTCAATTCTAGAAGCATTTCACCTATCCGGATTCGACAAAAGTCCAAGGCAAATACAACTATAGGTGTTGTACCGTTTGGCACCGAGAGTACTATACTTTTAGAAGAGGAAACAACTATTACATTGATATCTCTACACACTACCAAGTTCAAATTTTTATCATATATTGTATATCTTAGACAATCGAATTATTCTCTATTGCAATAATAAGATAGATTTAACAATACAGCTATTCATCATTTTCAAATGAGTTATATTTGCAATTATAAACATTTTGTATAATTTTAATTATTACAAGTCCAGTTTAACTTCAATAATGAGTCAAATTAATCCTCAGTAAGTAAAGTAGGACCTACATTTGAAACGAGGTACATTTTATGTGAGACTATTAGATTAGACAAAGTGTTTAAGAAAGAGAAAGATTTTCGAAACTTGTAGTACTAAACATGTTGTAAAGCCCCAAGGGCTTTGGTCTAGCCGTCTAGTGGTGAGAGCGCAATAATGATGTGTGCGTTCGACACATATCACAGGTTCGAATATTACTGCAGATGAAAACCTGATATTCAAATGGGGAAGGGTAGAGAGGAGGTCCATTATCCACCGAATTTGAAACCATAAATAGAGACCCTGAGGATTTATTGATTATCAAAAAAAGCAAGCCATCACATTTTTGTAGTATAAATTAACCTATGTCATTAAGGTTAAAATGGAAAATTTAAAATTAAATTGCTCCATATAATTTTTTGGAACAGCTAAAAAGTAAATAGTGTCACATAAAATAGAATAGAAGGCAACAAACAGCAAGCAGTAAACAGATTGTTTAAGGAAAAAAGAACTATTCGGGTTGAAATACCTAGAGTTATTGATCCTAGGTGAAGAAGAGCGAGGAGCTGAAGATCGAAAAGCCTGACCACCAACTCGACCACCAGTCTTAGCAGCTGAAGCTGGATCCACTGAACCCATTGTTAATACCCCAGCTGCCACTGCTACTAATGCCAACTTACCCCATTTATTTTCACTTTTCCTGAAAAAAAGAAAAACAACATACTTACTTCATTAAGAACCCACAAAATGATGAAAACTTTTTTCTTTTTACCTAAAAAATGAGTCTTGTGGTTCCTCATCTGGGGTGTGTTTGCACAAGATTTTAGTGCTATTTTTTCTGGTTGAAGAAAGAGGAGGACTAATTAGGAAACTTTGCTGTAGAAATGCTACAGACATTTTTCTTTCCTTTGGAACTTCAAGTGATTAGCTGAGAATTGAAGTGGATTCTAGTTTGAGTCAATGCTGTTCTGATATTTGTTCATCCATTTGATGACTGTCAAGTGTCCACGTGGGGGTGATGGACATATGTTACCATTTGATTGGAACAAACATAAAGTTAATCAACAATACCATTGGAGTGTATGGACTCCCATTGCAGCTCCCTAATGTGTTACAAATGTTTTATTTTTATATCAAACTTAACTAATATTATCATTTTTTTAATAAATATTATGGAGCAGTTAGAAACTGGGGTGATTGAAATATATTAAGAATTCTTAAACAAATCTTAATTTAAAAAAAATCTAAAGTAATACTTGTACATGAATACTTTCTCCAGTCCACTTTAATTAATTTTTTGGCATTTTTCTTGTGCTCTATAATATTTGCTTTTTTCAAAAATCAAGAAATAATTAATTTCTTTTTTCTAAAGTTGCCCTTGAAATAAAGAGCCTAAGAGTATTTGTAATGATCAAATTAAGGTTAATATGATCATTTTTATTGTTAATCAATGTTAAAAGAAGAATTTCTTAATATGTGTGAAAATAACCAAAAAATCAATGAAAGTGGACCGTGGGAAGTACTAATTGGCATTATCATTGATGTAAATCCGTAATAACAATTGCTGCATTAATACTATAACATTAGTTGCATAGTAATCCAATCTGTATTATTCCCTCAATCCCAAATTAATAGTAACTTTATCTCAAAAAATTATCCCAAATAGCTTTCATGGTACGAATTCAAAACTAAATTTGTTAATGGTTTCCAATCGTATCCTTAATATTAAAGAAGTACTAGTTGTATTGGTCTAAATTTGGACGGCTTGATAAGTGCAGATAAACAGGGTCGAGGGCGAGGTCGACTACGGCATAATAACGAGGAGTCGTCTTCAGAAGGATTATCGCTAAGGACGAGCAGATGAAGTAAAGAAGTAACGGTAGGATAGATTTAGAAATAGCTATAAAAAATATTCCTTTGGATATTCCTTATGTTGTACTTTCTAGGGTTTCTTGGGGAGATCCCCTATAAATAGGATGAGATAGAGAACAAAAAAGGGGATCTTCACTTCTTGATAAGAGCACATTGTAAAGAGTTGACTTGAGAGAATATACAAGCATTGTCTTGTTCACTGGTTCTATAGCCTTTACTTACATTACTCATTCCTTGTTCACAAGATCCAGAGATTCCTTATCTATCTACATTATCTTAGTTCCACGTTGCTGTCAGGAAGGAGAGTCACCCAAACCATCTAACATTTGGGTAATAAATTCCTCTTTCTTATATTTATTGCCATTGTCTACATTTATTGCATGTTCTTATTACAATAATCATTGATAAACGGTTAACACAAGCTTGTTCTTGTTATTCTTAAAAGTGGTCTGACTCCACGGATCAGTCCAAGCTTTTTATCTAGATCTGATTATATTTAACTAGGATTCATCCTCTATCTTATCATTAATTAGTTTAACAAAGAGTTTATCACTTTTTGGTCAGACAATTTGATACCGTCTGTGGGGCGTTTCTAGTAAAAATTTTAGTTCTTTCTAGATAAAAAAAAATAACAACAACATCATTCATCTCTTCCTAGTTTGCGCGAACTAACAATGGCAGGAGACGAAAGACTGAAAGCGGTAGTAGACGTCACTGCCAACCTCTTGAACACCATCAACGAGGTTGACAGAGATGGCGAAGAGAACACGACGCCCAGTGCTACGCCCAGGCGGAGCGACTCACCCCCCTCATTAAAGTGTAACTGCTTCACGTGAAAGGGGAGCCTCTACATCCACAGTTGAGGAAGCACCACCAGCAATAAAAAAAACTACTGGAGACGTGGCTAACGAGCACTCTAAGTGACATACTCGACAAACCTGCTCAACGGGCAAATAGAAATGTCATACAGACAGATATCACAGCAATCGCCGACAAGCAACCCGCTCCCCCAACAGGTAACACTCACACCGCTGTTGACGCGGGTAATGATGCACTTGAAGCCATTCTAAAGAAAATGGAAGAAATGGAAAAGGAGAACAAAAAACTCCGCGACCAGATGAAGGAACATCAAGAAAGGGTCGATAAGATACCGGGCGCCCCAAAACTGCTACCAAAACGGGATGTCGGCCGATTTGTCGAACAATCATACAACGAGGAGGCAGCCCCACATGTCATACCCAAAACCTTCAAGATGCCACCATATTTGAAGTTATATGACGGCACGACAGACCCCGAAGATCACATCATTCATTACGTTATAGCAGTAAAGGGAAACAACCTCTCAAAGGAACAAGTACCATCAGTGTTATTAAAGAAGTTCGGCGAGACCTTGACCGGGGGAGCCTTAACCTGGTACTCACAATTACCAGTGCGATCTATAACAACGTTTGAAGAAATGGCCGACAAGTTCGTCACCGCCCACGCCGGGGCTAAGAAGACGAAAGCCAGGGTAAATGATATATTTGCCGTTAGGCAATTGCCTGGCGACCGGGCCCTCGTTAGATTCCTCATTCGAGCAGGTTATTATTGGCCCACAATGAATAAGGAAGCCGCCGACTACGTCAAGAAATGCGAACAGTGCTAGAAATACGCTCCTACGATACACCAAGCGGGCGAACACCTCCACTCTGTTACATCGCCCTGGACGTTTATTAAATGGGGAATGGACATCGTCGGACCCCTCCCAGCAGGGCGAGGTAATGTATGATTTCTTTTGGTTTTAACTGACTATTTTTCCAAATGGGTAACAGCAGGTGCATTCGCCCAAATACGCGAACAGGAAGTTATCACATTCATATGGAGAAATATCATATGCTACTTCGGCATCCCCAAAGAAATCAGCAGTGACAACGGACCCCAATTCACCGGAAAGAAGACCACCGAATTCTTCGAAAAATGGCACATCAAGCGAATACTCTCCACGCCATATCACCCTGCCGGTAACGACCAGTCCGAATCCTCCAACAAAACAATACTAAATATCTTGAAGAAAAAGCTTGAGGACGTCAAGGGACTATGGCCGGAATTACTACTAGAAGTACTGTGGGCATACTTCACCACGCCGAAAACAAGCATAGGAGGAACGCATATTCACTAGTCTATGGGACTGACGCCATGATACCAGTCGAGGTCGGGGAACCCAGTTTGAGATACTCCAATAAAAGCGGACCAAGCAATGACAAGAACAAGAAACAAGACCTCGACGAAGTTGAGGAATGAAGAGACATGGCTTACATAAGAATGATAGCCCAAAAATAACAAGCAGAACCGTACTACGACAAAAAAGCCAAAGTACGACCACTCAAAGTCGGAGACTATGTACTCAAGGCCAAAACACAGGTGAGCAAAGATTCAAGAGAAGGCAAACTAGTAATTAATTGGGACGGGCCATATAAAATCACGGCAGCAGCAAACAAAGGATCATTCCAACTAGAAACAATAGAGGGAAAGCTACTACAAAACAATTGGAACGTCGCCCACCTCAAATACTTCAACTTCTAAAAACAGACGCCCTCAAGTCGTACTCTTTTTCCCTCACCCGGGTTTTGTCCTAATTGGGTTTTCTCGGGGAGGTTTTTAATGAGGCGACGAGGGGACGTCTCGGAGTTCAAGTATAATTCATCACCCCGCCTGCCGACTACTTCTCCTGGCCGAACGATGAAGGGACGAGGTACACGGGAACTTCTCCAATATATGTATGAAACAAATAAAAACATTTAATATTCTCCAATGAATGAAATAAAGCAGCATCTTTACTCTCCACCAAGCCTTTTTACACTTTACATTTGACCTCGCTCGAATTATTCGACATTCGACCTCATTCGAATTATTCGACATTCGACCTTGCTCGAATTAATTTACATTCGACCTCGCTCGAATTACTTTACATTCAACTTCGCTTGAATTACTTTACATTCGACCTCGCTCGAATTACTTTACATTCGACTTCGCTCAAATTACTTTATATTCAACCTCATTCGAATTACTTTACATTCGTCCCCATATAGCAAAAAGAAAAGAGAACAGAAATCAAGAAATACATAGCAAAAAGGGAATTTTTCCATTTCAACTGTCGAATTACAATACGTTTTACAAAGGGCTCAAAGACGCCCTCACAAAAATAGCAAAGCAAAACAAAAACTAAGTACAACAACTTCACGCCACATCATCCCCATCGGCGTACTCATCAACATACCAAGGATTAGAGGCGAGCCTATCTGCATCGCCGTCATCCTCATCCCCACCAGGCGTACCAGGGGCGTAACCACAAGCTTCGCGGGCCGCACGTGCCTTAACACGGACGCCCTCAAGTTCTGCTTTGGAAACTTTCCCAACAGCCTTCAAAGACTTATACACGTCAACCTGAGCCTCGATGTGAACCCACATCTCATACAACTCCCACGGCACACCGGGATCAGCAGAAGTATGAGACATAGACGGCTGTGACTGCCGTCGTACCTCTTCGGCCCTCAAGAAAATGGCCTGCTCGTTCAACCCAGACAACTCCGCCTCCAAACCCTGGATTCGTGCTTCTAACCTCGCCACCTTAAGCGCCGATGTCTCCACCTCATTATCCCGCTCGGACCTACAAACGCGGAGGGCATCTTCTAAGGCCGCCACTTCAGCTATAGCGGCCAGTCTGCCTTTCTCGGCACGACTCAATTCTTCAACCTTGGCACTCAGCTCGTCCTTAGATTGACAACCTTTGCCTCCCTCTGCCCGAGTTCATCCGTTAAGGATGCCACTTGCGTTTGAAGGTCGACATTCTCAGCCATCACCGCCTTGCTCACCTCGAGCTCGTCCTCCTTGGCCTTTAGAGTTGCCTCAAGCTCGCTGCACCTACCAATGGCCCTCATTAGCTCATCATCCCTCTCTCTTAGCTCTTCATTTTTCTTCGCCAGCTCATCATCTTTCTGTTTAAGCCCATCGCGAAGCAACTAAAATTCGCCATCCTAGCTAAGGAAGTCGGCCAGCGTTCAGTTCTTGGTGCGGTACTCCTTGTACTTGGAGGTCATCTTCTTAAAAATGGTCGTCC